GGATTTGAACTGCCAGCCTTTTGGTTAGCAGTCAAATGCCTTAAGAACTATGACACCAGAGCTCCTATATATACGTGTGTGTGTCTGTGTGTGTGTGTGTGTGATAGAGAGACTTCAAGGAAATGGCTCACACAATTATGGGAGCTAGCAAGTCCCAAATCCATTGGTTAGGTTGCAGGCTGAATGTTTTTGCTTGCTCATGTGGCTGCAGGGATTAATGAACCCAAAGTCTGCAGGTCAGGCAACAGACTGAAGGTTTCTTCTGATTCATATCCCAAGAAATGGAGGTCTAGTGATGAGAAGCATGCAGGTTAGAGATAGAGAGTTTTCTCATTTACCATTTATATGCTGGAGATTCCCAAAGGAATTCCTCTTTCAAATGATTGGCTGCTCGTATTAGATCACAAAATGGAAGGTGATTACATAATATCTGCAAAACCACTAAGAATTATAGCCTAGCCAACTTGACACAGAACATTAACAAACACACTACTAGAAGTAATTTTTCATGGATATCTCATAGATTAGTGAGTAGTTCACAGAATCCCTAGGTGGGCCAGGGAATCATACTGAAAGGCCACTCATCCAGGAAAAATACCCAAAATTCAGCACAGAACTCTTCCAATGAAGCACTTGTGGACATTTAAAGGGATAAAAAATAGTTTAAAAATTGGGTTATGGTCATCAGCCTTCAAAAAGACTGCTGACATAAACAAAACAAGTCCTCCCAAGAAAACTACTCCAGATATTCCATTCCTCACCCAGTGCTCCCATCAGGACTACTCATTGGTCCCATAGATTTGAAGACTGGACTTCCCCCACACATTTTGCCTCTCACATTTTGTCCCAGTTAAACTTTATGTTTTCTGAATGGTCATCCTTGGCCATGTCCTCAAACCTCACCATTGCAACATAGCTTTGTGTGTATTCTTCTACTTTCCTTTGACCCTCTGCCCTTCAGTTCAATATTTCTAGGGCATTTCATGCTGATATTGTCTATACTTCTTCAAAAGAGTCTGAATGGGTCACTAGAGTCACACTTTTGGGGACATAGGTTCTTATTGACATCCCATTAAGATAAAAATGTCCAAATGAGAACAAAACCAATAAAAACCCTGTTGGCCTTTTTGAGTCCTTGGCTGCAGTGGGAAATAAACTTAGGATTCAACTTACAGTCAGGTAGTACATCTACAGGTCACATTACTAAAACAGCTGTACTGGACATAACTCATCATAAAACTATGTTAATTTCTTAATTTCCAATAGCTGCAACCAACATCTCAGACACTAGAGTCCTTTTTCTCCATCATCCACTTCTTCCCCTTAAATGAGATTGAAAATCCTCTTCTGTCTCAGATCTCTGGGAAACCCTGACAGTTCCAGAAGTAATTGCCTCTTTATCAGCCAGAGAGGTGGAGATGAGAAACTTGGGTTTTCATTTTGGAAAGTGGGTCACATTCCTAAGAGTTCAACACAGGCTTCCTTTGAGCTCAGAGCTAACTTTGAGGATCCAGCATAGAGACAAGATAAGCATGGCATATCTTGCATATCACAGTGAATGTGAGAATTACATAGAAAATTTGTTAAATATGTAGACTGTAGGCCCCATCTCTAGAGATATTGTTTTGTTGGGTCTAGGCCAGTGGCCCAGACATCTGCATTTTTAACAAGCTCCTTAGGTGATTCTAACAGCTCTGTCTTTGAAAAACAATGAGTATAATACATCACTTTCAATAAGGGATAGAACAACTGGAAAGAAACTCAACAAAGATGCAGAATAACTAAATAATACAATCAAAGAACCCGACCTTATAGAAATCTACAGAGCACGTCACCAACAACAACAAAATATATATTCTTTTCCAACACACATGGAACATTCTCCAGGATAGCCCATATGTTAGGCCATAAAGCAAGCCTTAATAAATTTTAAAATATTGAAATACTGCAAAGGATCTTCTCAAATCACAATCAAAAAAAAAAAAAAGAAAGAAAGAAAGAAAAGAAAAGAAAGAGCCAAAATAAACA